GATTTTTCTGTTTTGTGACCGCTTGATAAATTTTGTTTCCATGCTAATTTTGCATGCTTTTGTCTTGGCATGTTTGTTTTTGAACTATTTTCATTCATGTTGATAGGTTGATTGCACATATAGTTATAGAACATCGATATTTCGCTGATGATTATAAGGCTTTCGATCTTAGCTCTCTGCTTAGTTTCCGAATTGATTTCACCTTGAATACAGTACCTATATCGCTTTCGTGGATGCTATTTGGGCTGTATTTGTGTATTTTCCAATAATATTGTGCCAAAAAATTTTGGTTGGCTTTCAGCTAAAAGGCTGTCGTTTTACTTCTGTCGGTTTATACACCTAATATTTTTTTCCTACAAATGATTGATATTTTTTATGAGATCGTTAGCATTTTGGCCCCAATTTTAAGTTTTCGAATGTTCAAGTTGAACCCCAGTTGGTCCACTTTAAAATTTTAATAGTAATTTGAACATTTAAAAAAATGATTTTCATTTTCATATTTTTTTGTAGTTGTTTTATCTACGGTTACAAGTTTCGAAGTTGTCTTTGATAGTTCTTGAGAGTCTTGGTGTTTTAATCCTATACTTGTTGTTTCGCAAATATTGCGAAGCTCAGCTTCGCCTCTGTGTTTAAATTACACTTCAAAATTTGAGTAAAAACCCTAATTCTTTTGTATATATCTGGAAATTTTACTTCCAAAACTTTAATGAAAGGAAATTGTGGTCTGTTTTTTGACAGTTTAAATTTTATCTTACATTTAAAAATTAAATATAGATTTACACAATAAATTGGGTTCCATTCTTGATTTTTTATATAAAAAAAATTTTGGATTACATTAAAGACAAAATGCACAATTTTTTGTTTGTATTTTTTGCGAAGCATGTTTGCTCGAGCGTTAAAAGATTTTTTTTCGGCTAAAAAAGAGAAAAAATACGCGAGTTGGAGTTTTCTTTTGATACCTGGAAATTGTATGATCCAATTTTTTTCTATACACTCTATGTATGGGATGGTGTGATACGCACTTATATTGTTTGGAATTACATGAGCATTTTTCGTCTATAAAGGTCAACTCGGGTGCTTAGTTACCGCTCGATAATTTTTGTTGAACAGTCATGAAGATAGCGAAGACTCTTATACGGGTCTTGGTGTTTTTTTTCAGAAAATAATCCTAAAATTTGTTCACGCTCAATTTTGATTTTTCGCGGTTTGACTCTGCTATCCAACTGCAAAAGTGTGATGATCCTGTTTTTTAAACCACTGTCGAACGAACATAATTCTGCATTTAGGTACTGCGCTTATTATAGTTTGTCTTGATTTGACGGTTTCAAATAACGAGCTCAAACGTATTCAATCCTGTTTGTATTTCTAATATTGTTTTCTAGATTTCATCTGCTTATTTGTTGTCAACAGTTTGTGTCTGCTAATTTTCTTAAAATGTTTTTTTTTGTGTGTTTTCAATGCTCATCTTTTTTATATACTAATGTCACTTTCAAAGAATACCATCAAGTATAATTTTTTATTATCTCGGCAAATTTTGTGTACCGACTACTCCGCGACTTACGACTAAAAAAGGAAAGCCACTAAGGGATCGAGTTAAGTTTTTTAGTAAAGTCCCTGTGGTAGTGATTCGTTTAAAATACTTGGAGCCTACCTAGAGGTCAATAAGGTTCAACAGAATTAATGATTTGATTTTTGGCATCGTAAATCCTTTTCTTAGGGCTCTACTGTACAAAGAATTGACATTGGTTCAGTCATTCAAGAAGCACAGGTATAATTCTGATAATGAAATGAAAACAAATAGCAATAAATATAGACAGAGGCGATTTAGGGGAGGGGCGGACGCCCCCTTCTCAGGGATTCGACCCCCTACCAACACAAAAGGGTCCAATATATACTAATTTTGAGGGGGGCGCCAATTTATACTAATTTTGAGGGGGTAGCAAGCGCCAAATAACGCGATTTTTTGGTCATATTTTTCCAAAAAACTGCCTGAAAACGCCTTTTTGGCCTGTTTTTCACAAAAGTTTGCCTGCGGCGCGGAAAATTTGACCAAAACGGTCTTTTTAGTGATTTGGGAGAGCTCGAAAAATCAATTTGGTCGACCTTAAAAAAAGGTGGACAAAATTTTTGAAACTTTTTTGAAAATCTGCCCCCCTTTTGAGAAAATCCTAGATCCGCCCCTGAATATAGACATCTTCTACCATAATTCTAAGTGCATTTTTGGCTTTTTCTTGGGTGAACTTGTTATGCGAATCCATGTTTTCCAAGCAAAGTCAACACAACATGATTCTATGTTAGTATACTACGCTCATTGTATTTTTTTTTGATAGAAAGGTTTCAAGAAGCAAGTCATCATTGCTTAATTCAGGTCAAGTCTGGTTCTTTTTGTAGTTTTTAAGAGTCAATGAACGTAGTGAAGAATCCTACATTGGTCTTGATTGTTTTTTTTTCAGGAAGAAGCCTTAAAACTTGTTCACGCTCAAATTAGTTTTTTCGCGGTTTGACTTTTGATTTCTCTTTATTTTCAGTTCATTTCATTTTTTAAAAGGAAGGCAAACTCCACTATCGAGCAGCAAATATGTAAAGGTCACGGAAAACGTGATCTACGTTTAGTATCGAAAGTGGGTTTGAGTTTTAAGATTTCGCAACGAATGCAAAATTACCTATTGAACCAGTTTCCTCAAATTGGGTTAATTTTTATCGAATGATTTGTTCTTGAATATCAAAAAGCTCTAAGGCCGGATTTTTGGTCTTTGAAATTCAGTATGTTTTTGTAAATTCCGTCAGCTTATTTGTTATAGAGTTGCTTTTTTCTGACGGCGTAATGACCTTCGATATTTTTGTTTCCTTTCAGTGGTCTTTTTTTTCTTAGTCTGAAACTACTTTCAGAGAATATCAATAGGCAATGATGGCGTTTTCAAAACTTTGGATTCCAAAAAAAGTTGTCTCGCCGCCAAAAAATTGATGTGAAATTATTCGAATTTCAAACTGGAAAATTCAGATTGACCTTCCAATGAATTTGTAGTGGAGTGTTCGAAAAAGTTTAGCTTTTAGTAAGTTGTTGCTTGCCTCATCAATCAATTCATTTCCCTTTTGCTAGATTTAAAGCAAAAGTTTTTTTAAGTTTTTTTATTTGACTTTCATATCTATTATATATTTAAATATAACTATCTCGCTATGTTTTAGCTTTTTCAATGTATTATTTTTGCATGTTTAACAAAAGAATTTTTTCATGTTTAAGCTATATCGTATATTGCAATGGCTAAGATTTTTTTTTCGATTTTCCTGTTTCAGTTCAGTGTTTTTTTTTCACCAATGTTGAAATTAGCAACCCAGTGTTTTTTTTCACCAATGTTGAAATTAGCAACCCAATAGTGGGATGCTGTCAGGGTTTCCCCGGGTGTTGCGATTTTGGCCTCCATGTATGAATAACCAAATCCTTTTAGGCTACGAGGTACGGCAATTTTCGAACATTTCTAGAAAACCTAATTTTTAACAATTTCTGAAAATTTGAAGTTTTCAACCCTGTAGTTGGGGGTTGTCAGAGCACTCTCAGAGTTGCGAATCTTGCCTACAAATTTCACTTCTCAAATTCTTGTAGTTTTCGAGATATGACGTTTTTTATGATTTTTCAAAAACTTTCAAAAAACTTAGGTTAAATAAATTCAAATTTTTTGAAGCTCTCAATCCTCTACTTTTTTATTATATTTCGGTATTTTCATAAGTGTTTACATGCGTTAATTTTTATGTTTAATTATTTCAATTTGCTAGTGTATGGTATTCTCATTTTAGCTTGTTTAAAACTTTATGAAGTACGTTTTTTCATACCTTTTTCATGAAGATGTTCATGAAACGTGTCGATGGCTGTTACATCATACAATGTCTGTTCTCATGGAACTACTTGTTTGCTCCTCTGGTTTTATTGAAGCGATTACATTATGGGATAAAAAGTATTGCGAAAGTATTCTATACCGAAAACTGCAAGGAAAATTTTTGAAACGTACAAAAAATCTAAAACAAGAGGCGAGCGAAAGATTGGAATTTTTAGCTTAGAGTTTTTAATGTGGTTCTCACTCAAGCAAGCGTTTTTTTATACAATTTCAATTTGTCAAGCTAAGTCACGTATTTTTGTGTTCAATAGCCCTTCAGTTTTTTTGCAGTATAAATCAGCGCTCAATAAATATTTGGTCTTGTTAATGCGAAAACAGACGCAAAAAGTGATGCGATGAAATTAGACGTAACAAGACTGCTCTTATATCAGGGCAAAGTCCTGAATGTTCCGTCTGTGCTTTAATTTATATCATATAAATTTTGGGAAAAAATATTGAAAGCCTATACATTTTGGACAATATCAATGTGTAAAATTTTGAGTCGTACGAAATTAATACGACCAATAAGCTAGCCTGAATTCAATTTGGAACGATTTTGTTGTACGGTATAATTAGCCACGCATAAATATTTTACGCTACGCTCTCAGCATTATGAAAAAACTCTTCAAAGCGCGCATAATTTAGTCCTGAACATAGCAAATTTGGCAATTTTCAAAAACCCCCATAATTTTACAAAAAATAATCGGAGGTAAAATATCTTTTTACATTTGAACTCAGGAAGTTGATATCTTTATCTTAAATATGGTCAAAAAAAGTTTTGTTGAAAATTATAATTTCGATCAGTGAAAATTGACCGAATAATAAAAAAAACACCGAGCATAAATACTCCGTTTTCTTCGAAAATCGGAACAAAAAGGGATGGGGAATCTTGTTGGTCATAATTAAGTGTGAGTCGAGAAAGTACACGAAGACTCGGTTTCCACTTGCGTTATTTAGGATATTTTTTGCTTGTGTATGCGATTTGTAAGTTCGCAGCTGTTTACATGATAGTTTCTTGATTTTCACTAAGGTTTGTGATGAGGCTTTTTTCTTTGTATAACAGCAATTGACATTAGCCTTAAACGATGACCTGAGTGTTTCAGTTCTCTTGAACCAGAATATCTTGTTTAGATCCCTCCGACTATAGAAGACGCTACAGCCTATGATGAACTGCTTGAGCAGCTGCAGTCGATCGGATTTGCAAAGCAACCCCAAATGCTCAACCGAAAAGACTTCACATAACTCTAGTTTTATCCTTCGAACAAAATATCGCTTTCAAAGTTTAATATATACCAGATTTTGAACCATGCTTTCTGTATCTCTTGTCCCTAGATCCATATTTGTTAAGCTCTTAAGAACAAGTAGTCAATTTCAAATTTACCAGTGTTCTTTTGAAGTGAAAGTGTATGTGTAAATGTTCAAAAGCACCGCATTATAATAACTTCAAAAAATTTGTATAGTGCTTTATTCAAATCAAATAAAAATCAATCCTTCAATCAGGAGCGGATCTAGGATTTTCTCGAGGGGGGGAGGGCAGATTTTCAAAAAATTTTTGAAAATTTTGTCGACCTTTTTTTAGGTCGACCGAGATTATTTTTCGAGCTCTCTCTAAGCGCAGTTTACTCCCTGTATTGGCCAAATTTTCTGCGCCGTATTGGCCAAATTTTCTGCGCCTTTGAAAAAACAGTCCAAACCCCCCCTCCTCAAAATTAGTATATATTAGCGCCAAAGGCGCCTTTAGAAAAACTTTAAAGTCGGTCGGCCAAAAATGGATTTCTTAGAAAGTACCAAAGGGGGACGGCAGGAGGTCGAATCCCTGAGGGAGGGGCAACCGCCCCCCTCCCTAAATCTGCCCCTGCCTTCAATGTAAACATTTGAATCAATGCTCGCATGTTGGTTGTCTTATGTACCAAATGAATGACATCAATTCAGCATAAGCTACAGAGAAATTTCAAATGTTTTGCAAAGCGATTCATTTGATAAAATGGTTTGATATTTTTCAAGGTTACATCTCAAACACTTAGGTTCCTGCGAATCAAGCCATGCTATCAAATAACTTGAACAAATCAATGATTCATCGCTGGATGAGGTTGCTTAAAACGTAATTTATATCGACCTGGTTCATCCTATAAACGAACTTGAACTGATTCGAAGTTTCATTGATTGATGAGGCTGCTAAAGAAACTTGAATGTTGAACGTGAACCGAATGAAATTAACTGAAACGTTTAATGTGTCATCGCTTGATGAGCTTGCGTAAAAAGTTCAGGCTTTTTCGATACTACAAGACAACCTGAATAAAATCGAAGTTTCATCGCCTGATGAGATTTCATAAGCAAACCTTAATCATTTGCATGTCGAATCTTGCTTCCAAGTTTTTTAGTATAACTCAAAGCTTAGAAAAACTCTAATTTTTTGCTAACCGGTTTAGCAAGGAAATAGTTTGAAGTGATTCAAAGTTTCATCGAAATGAAAAGAACTAAAAATTGATTGATTTTGAGCCGATGCATGCCATAAAATCAGTCAAAACAATTAAAAGTTTCATTGTTTGATGAGGCTGCTTAAACGAACTTTATTTTATTTGCCAACCGATTCATGTTACGAAGTGTTTTGTTGCAAAAAGTCATCAACAGCTTCAGGCTATGAATTTATTTAGAAATATCAAGGTTAACTTGAAATAATTGGAAGGTTATCAATTAATGATCAGGATCATTTTTAAGTTGTGCAAACCTATTCATGCTTTAAATATAGTTGGAATGTTTTGAAGCTTCGTTGCATGCTGAAACGTTATAAACATTTTTTCGATCAGATTCAGCAACGAAATGTTTTGAAATGTGTCATCACAAGAAGTTTCATCTCAAGACAATTTTGTTCAAAAAACCTAATTGTTCGCGAACCGATACAAGTAATTGAAATTACTTCTGATAAATACTCTAGCGTCAGCTTAGTGTATCATTAAGAAACTTCTTTTTTTTTTCTAATCTAAGTCGAAAATATTGGTGCCACTTTTGGGGCACTCTTACAGCTTTTTGGTAGCATGTGCTTTGACAGTCAAATAATAATAATTTAACACATTTGATGCATTTTTGGATCATCAAATGAACCGAAAAAAGCTGTTTGTTTCAAACAACAACAATATAAACTCGATTTCAGAAATTTTCGATTCCAATATATCAATTTTATGAAATGCATAGTTTGTACATAATGTGGCTTTATGCTTTGCGGTTTGCTACATGCAAAGTTAGTGTGGATGCCTTCAGTTTGTTATATTCCAAATTATTACTTGCAAAATTGAGTCTATTTGTATTTGGTGCCACTTTTGCTGAATGGCATTGGCAGCTTATTAGCATATGTAGCTGCTTTATTCGTGACTAGTGTTTGTCGGTGGTTGAGCGTGCGTGGCTGAGTGTTTAGTGCGTGAGACTCAAAATCGCTTGATTGCAGTAGGTCGCTGAGTTAGTTGGGAATTCGCCCTCGAAAAACTTTATAGACGCCCCTGTATAATGGAATGCATTTTTTGTTTTATGAAATCCGCTTGCTACTATTCATGAAGTATTGTGGCTTGAAAAAAAAAACGAAACATTCAATTGAAATGTGCAGCATTAGATTTAAATTTTTTGACAACTAGGGTAAATTGTTTAAAGTCCAGGATCATTGTGCAGCTTTTTAACAGCCGATTGGAAGAAGCTGAGTCCCCCTTCGCCTTGGGAATTGGCTGCCATCTGTTCCAGCTGACTGGCTCGAGTGCGCCTGTAAAGGGAGGTGTAAATCGACACTGACTCAACTTCAGAACAGATGTTGAATAATATAACTAGCACTGATAAAAATGAGGCCAATACAAGCTTCGTCATTTTAATTGAGGCAAATCGAGAAGTTATAGATCAAAAGTAAAAAAAGGGAGTCTCGACTATAGATTTATGCGACGAAAAGTAATAAACGTTTTTCAATTTCCTGTAGATAAAATTTAGCTGAAGCACTTGAACAATAATTCTGTGACAATACTGCGGTGAGGTTGTGTGGTGAGCTAGAACACAAAGGTATCTACAATGGGACGATAGGCTGCAAAATGATAGATGGGAAAATTGCAGTTTGTTTGATTCTATATTTTGAAAAATGTCGGCAAGATAAGATATAATCACTTGGGAGCTGATTGAAACAGCGGATAGGCAATAAGTTCCGGCACGTCACAAGCTGCACAAAGTCTAGCTACACAGGAATATGGTAGTCTGAAATCAAGTGGTGCTTAAAACACGTGAAATTTGGTTGAAGTGCTTGAAGCTAAATGGAATGTGTAGCTTTGAAAGAGATATGGAGTTATAAAGACAAGGGTAGGATAAGTGGAGACAATCTAGTTTTCAAGGAGATATTAGATCATAAAATGGTAGCTGAAAGCTGAGTGAAATCCTCTCTAGAGCTCTCTAGAGCTGGCAAGTTGCAATGAAATGTAGCCACAGTCGCGGAAAAGAAGGCAACAATAACACACGGTTAACTTTCCAATGACCTGAATTATATTGAAATCAGTTTACGGACCGTTCGATTATGTTTGACCAATTTGAGCAGATAACGTACAAGTGTTCGAAATGGTACAAGAATGTACTACGCTGGAAAAGCTGAAATCCCGAATATAAAATACACGTGTTAAGTGAAAAGTAATTTGGTAAGTCGGCAATTTCAGAAAGTACGTAGTAGCATTTTTTTGCCCGGGCATAGAGGTAAGACTGCTATAAAATTGTCTGGAGTGAATCTTGTTACGAATATGGGTTGAATAACAGACACAAATAAACAAACCCATATTTTCTCTAAGATTTTCACACAATCAAGCTTGCCATTACGTGCATACTTCTATTAAACTAAGTCGTCTTTTTCCAACGCAGGCGCACATTTTGGTGCAAAGATTCTGCATATAGTGTAAATCTATTCTAATGGACAAAAATAAGCGCAGTTTCAGGTTGTTACTCTCTAAAATAGTTATTTTCAATGTCCATTATGGACAACATTTACCACGATTTTCAGCAAATATTTGCATAGTCGGAGAGCAAATGATCTGAGGTACCCTCTCTCAAAGTCTCAGTTTTTGATTTGAAGCACTAATCATTTTTTCCGGGTCTAAAATGCTGCCAGATTTCACCGTCTGCGCTAGATTTTGCATCGTAATAAACTTTTTCGGAAACGCGGAGTAAAAAATTGTTTGTTCACGCGACGTGAAAAGTTCTCAGCGAGAAAATTTAAGTAATCAGTGTGACAACCTTAGTGAACTCGTCTTTTCTTGCAATTTCACTCGTTTTGGAAAACTTAGCGCGGATGATGAAAACTGTCATTTTCAGACCCAGAAAAAACGCGTGACTGCTTCAAAATAAAATTTGAGGCTTTTAGAGAGTAGTTCAGATCATTTGCTGTCGGTTGATATAGAAAATTTGTTAAAATTCTAAGTAAATTTTGTCCAAAATTGTCCTTAAAGTTAGGCATTTTAAGAAAAAAAAACTATGTTTCCAATTAACTTTGTCCACTAGTGTATCTCTATTTTAACTTCTTGTCGAGCAGCCAAAGGCTTACCCAACTGTTATTTATGTAGGAGATAAGCAACAGCTAAATTTTGTATCGCGAATGTTTGTGAACAAATCGAGAAACGCAGTGTCGAGATGTGAGCAAAATTCGAGATGCAAAATAAGTTGCTGCTTTTTGTTATGAAACACATGTGAACAATTTGAACAAAATGCCACATTTGAAAAAAATTTCAAGCTAACACGTCATTTTTACTTTCTAAATTGCTTTGTTTAATTGTTCTAGGAAAGATATTGCATAAAAGCTTCCACTTCTTGTTTGAAAAACTAGTCCAAAATTTGAAACACCAGTGAGATATTTAAATATTGCACTAGTGTTTCAATAATTGCTTTAGTTTTTCAGGTTTTGTACTACTGATTTGCATTGGTTTTTCAAAAATAAAAAATACTGAACACTTGTGTTTTGTTTAAATTTGATTAAGCTAAAAAAATTTTTTACAACAATTCATTTCTTAAACTTTTACGCGCGTCCGAATTGTCGAACCGCCAACTGTGAGGTTGCTAGCAAGCTTTATTATCACTTAAGTCACAATGCTACAGTTTTGAAACACATCAATTGCCGCTTGATGTCTAAGAAAAAAGAGTCCTCTGTTGGTACCCTCAGTCTAATATTAGTTAGCTTCACTAAATTCGCTATTTTTGGAGGGAGATTTAATTTCCTGAAAGGGTGGACTAAAGAGGGTATTCTCCTTTCATTTTAAAGAACGGCCAAATGTTAACAAGCAGGACCCGAATTTAAGTTGAATAACTATTTTTCGTTGTTAACCATTTCTGAGAAAAAGGAGGAAATAAATTAATCAGAGAGGTTCGCTTCATTTCAGCAATTTCTTCTGAAAACCGACAGAATTTCAAAAACTTTTATGCCAACATTGACATCTTTACCAAGGCCTGTGATCACATGGTGCAGGAGTTGGTTAGATGCTGTAAACCAAAATTAAAAATTTG